AGCACTCTCGGGATGCTTGAATCGGTCGACCTGCTGAGAAATGGTTCGTTTCAACGGTGATTGACAGCTGGCTAGTCTAACCGCTGGCGTGGCCGGTGATTTTCACATGAGATAACGAGGTGCAGCATGTGTTTGCTGCTGCTAGGGAGATTGCGGGTAGGTAGTTGCCGTCTATCAGGGTAGTTTTCGGAAACCTAGGTGCTCTGTGGGTTCTGGTGGCCCAGCGGAACAGATCTGATGCAAGGTCCATCGGTCCCTGGAGTCCACTTTGGTGCCGGTTCAAGGTTGCTAGTGTATGGCCCCAAAGGGTGATCAATCGTATCCGAGGGCAGCGGTGTATGTCGGAAAGGTACCTTAGGTGACCTGGATACTTTGGTTGGCCGAGAGCTAGACCGAAACACAGCGTAACTGACGTGTCGAAACAACTCAGAGAGGTCTGGGACTCTGGGACGGTGGGCATGTTTTTCATGCGGTCCGGGTGTTCTGGCGTGCATCTGGAAGGGCGGATGGAATGCTCCAAAGGTGGATTGCAGGCAGCTAGGTACCTTAGCAGCATGCCTTAGTGTAAGGTTTGCCGTGCTCCCTTCACACTGTAAGGTAAAAGCCAGGTGGATACGGTTCCATCGCAAGTATGCTGTTGCAGGGGAGAGACCGAGAAAGGGTTCGCTGGAGTCGCGCCAAAGGTGGTAACAAAAATGTAAGAGGTGAGGAGACCAGGCGTGGATTGGACAGAATAGTGACCGTTATTACTGGGAGCCTTGTTCCACGAAGACCTGACGATGTGATGATGAAATCCGGTAGCAGGGACGAGCGGGCAGGCGCAAGGTGTTCCAGCAGCTAAAGTGTATCGTACTGCACAGTGGAAGCTACGGCTTCGGAAGCAATGAAGGCCTGTCTGCACCTCTGTTGAGTTTAGAGGTGGACTTGGTGAGCTTACACCAGCGAAGGTACTCCCTTCGCCTTGTCGATGCCTTGTCGTTCACTCACCGCCCGTCGTTTGTCTATTGGATTAGCGACGTGCTCTGCAATGCATGGGAGGTTTGATATTGATGAACGGTGGTCCATGGCAACGTGGAGTGAGGAGCAGGGCCTCGGCCTTCGACCCCTTGACTCTTGAGTCTTGAGAGGCGTTTGTTTTGTTATTGGAGTTAAAGTCAAGGATCCATGACAGTTTAGTTGACCACAAACAGTTTCCTCAGGAACCGCCTCGATAGGTATTGTGCCTCAGGCTCTTTTGTCTTCGAGCACAGCCGAGGGTAAGAGTCCGTCCAGGTCCTGTCTTTATTGTCGACCGTGAATAGAACGGCCGTGCTCTCCCTGGGTATCTGAACAGAGTACATTACATGCGTTTGCATGCTCTTGCTTGCTGGTCGCAATAGGAACAGCAGCCGCAGAGGCAGAAAAGCAAGTCTGCAGCTTGAGCCCTGGGGTAAGGTAGTGGAGGGCCATGAACTCGAGTCCTTGACAGTGACACCCACACTGGTGAGTGGTGAGTGGTGACATTATACCCAAGAGGTTGGAGCTGGCTGCGTTGTCTCTGCGCTTTCCCAGACACGGACGTTAGGCGAGTTCGGCGAGTGGAGACGATTCTGGAGGTCTGGGAAGTTTGGAGGTCTGGACGAGAAGAGCCGTGGGGGGAAACTTGGGAGGAATGTAAACGAGATGCAAACGCCGAAACAGAATACCCTATTTTCTGTCACCCCGGATGTCGTATCATGATGATCCAAAGATGTATCCGTATGTCGCCGCAGCCGCAGCCGCAGCCGCTAGTCTAATCAAAGATGACAAGACTCAGAGATAAGGCGTGCTGGTCCGGGGGAGATGAGAAAGACGGGCGCGAGCCTGCGAGGATGAGAACGAGGGCGAAGACGACAACGAAGGGGTGCAGGAAGAGGAAGAGGAAGGCGGTGGTGGTGGGCGGTGGACGGATTGGTGCGCTAACCTCCAAATCGAGGTACCCAGGTACCTTGCCGAACCGTGCGTCTTATCGCGATACATGAGCCTTATCGCGCCATGATGGCATTTTGGGTGCGACAGCAGCTGATACCTGCCCGGTACTTCAAGATAGGTACTTGACCTTCGCGGAAGCGATACTGTACACTATGTAGTCAAAGAATCAAGGTCCAAATAGCGAGACTTGAAGGAGAATCCCAAGAGCCTACCTCGTCTCAAGCAACCTGAGGAAATGCATTTTGTGAAGCACTGAAGGCTGAAGAGTAAAAGGCAGGTGTGCGTGACCGACACCGGACTGGTACAGGCAAGGTATCCCTCTCCAGTGAGATCCCCCGTCCCACCACCACGCAGCACCAAAAGGACCCCTGACCAGTGACCACGAGGATACGAGCGGGGGTGGTTGCGATGCACCTGCATTGGCTGTTCCGGAACGGCATATAGCTGGGTACGTACTCCAGTGACTCCCTCCTTCCCTGCTCACTCCTCACTCCGAGCCCTTACACAATTGGGGAAAGAGCTCCACCGGGCAGCGCAGCGCAGAGCATCACGAGCCCCCCAAACCCAAGGGTCGCCTAGGCAAAGCTCACGTTTCTCTGGTCACTTGCCCCCTCCATAGCCCAACAATAAGAACAACACTGTGTGTTCATTTTTGGCTTCGAGTCAAGGACAAGGAGGATCGTCGTCTTTCTTATTGGAAATGTGCCTTGGACAAGTGACTGTCGTCCTCTGACGCATTATACACATACACTACAATAGTAAATGAATATGGAGAGATAGACACAAGCGCCCTCCCTATATGCGACTCCTCCGCTCTCTTGCGCCCCCCTGGTCAGGCAGATAGACACACTACATCATCGACACCAACCCTGGCCACCTGAATCTATCTGTCTTGGTCAGTCAGACTGGGGCACGTCGTGATCGTGGTATAGGTAACTCACAGTGTGAGTGAGAGAGAGAGACTCGGAAACACAAGAGAGAAAGGAGGAAAAGGAGAGACTGAGAGGCACAGAGGGAGCACAGCTGCCGCCACTCCCACGCTGTCCTACCCGCAGCATCACAGCGCATTCACCCAAACCCAACAAACCATCAATCCACCAATCCACCGCCCCCATCTTCTTCAACATCCCGAATCAGGAGAAGACCAAGCACCCTAAGCACCACCTCAAACCCATCATCGAGGCATCCATCCCTTTTGTTCATCACCTACGCAGTAGGCAGTCCAGGCCCATCCCATACCTTACCTTGCCCTCCCCGGTTTCCTGTGCCCTGTCACCTTGATCTCCAACCATCAAAAGTAACAAAAGTATGTACTCCCGCCTGCAGTGTATCCAAAGGAATACCTACCTTACCTACCCGACTGCGTATGTATCAAAGGCAACCACCGCCAGGGTAACGCAACGCAACGCAGCGCATCGCTTCGCTTCGCTTCGCACACGGCAAGCCGCAGGCCGCAGTCCTAAGTCCCATGCCGGCTCCAATTGATTAGGACTCACCACCGTACGGCAGTACTTGGTAGATTCCCATACTTGTCACTGACGGGACAGTCACCTCAGTCACTCACACTGGGCTCCCGTCCCATCTGGCGCTACTGCTGCGCCGCTGCTTGCTTCCTCCAGTCCCGATCTGCCCAAGATAGTGTACCCACGCTACCTTGCATTTAGAGAGGAACTTAGTCTGTAGACACCCAGTGACAGTAAAAAGGGCTGCTGCTACCGCGGCCAACCTGGAAAGGTACGGGGCAAGGTACCTAGACAAGGCAAGGTACCTACCTCACCTCTCCAGTCACCTGGCACCAGACCTCCAAGCGCCCTTTATCGCAATCAATGGAACAACTGGACCCTCCCACCTCACCTCACCTCACCCTGCACCTCCCTATCTAATCAGTAAGTACCTAGGTACCCAGGTCTTATCCACTCTGCGCCCCATCTACCCTTCGTCACTCACTCCCGTCCTGCGCTGCCCCGGCTGGCTCGAGGTCTGTCACTCAACCTTCTCTCGGCGCGTCCCTTGACCTTCTTCTACATCGCCTGCCCATCCCATCCTGACCGCCCGCCACTCCTCTCACTCACCTCTCTCTCTCTCTCTCCCCTTCGCCAACCTCGCTCGACCTTATCCTTCAACTGTCCGTTCTTTCCACCTCCTACCTCCCCTTACTCACCACATTCACGAAATCCCTGGACTTCTCTGCCCCCCCGGTTGCTCCTCGCGAAGCTCTTTGTGCGCATACCACCAACATCTAACACAATCCATCGCATGCCCCGTTTGTACCGCCGTTTGCTTCGCCCATAACCGCCTCTCTCTCACACACCTCACTCCATCAGGGTACCTCTCGAGTACACAACGTCACGTCCTTGGTAGCTCCGAGTCATTAGCTTGACCTTGGATTTTGCCTGACTCTTGTCCTGAAAAAGGTACCTTTCCCCTCCGAACTTGCTCCAAACTCTCCGATATACTCCCAGAGAGCCTCAAACGGCCTGGTACATTCTCCTTGGCTTGCTTCCTAACGCTCACCGTCCACCCGTATTAGTCACATCTCTCTCGATACTTCCAGCGCCTCCCTCCTCCAACTCCCACTCCGATCACCGCTCGATCACCACGACCCCCCGAATAAATCCATCCTTGCCCTTCTTTACCTTCTTCGACTTTCGCTTCGTTCCCGGTCGCTTCGTCGACACAATCCTGCACCCACCCACGGACGCTACGACGGTCCTTCCCTTCTGCATCAACCTGGTCCGCGTGCACCCCGACCTATCGGATAGCTGCCTGTCGCTGCCTTCACATAGTCCCCTACCTTTCGAAGCCTCGACACCAGGGTTCTGGCTGCTGCTCGCGGTTCTGCCTGATCTTCTCTTGCTTCCCTTTCGGCGCACCTTTCTTCCGCCAGATCCATCATACAAACCAATTACAACGACCATCTTCCCAACTTCGATCGTGTACATGACACCCCACCCGGCCGACGTCTTTCGAATAGCATAGGCCGTAGGCCTGAACTGAACGTTGCCCCCCCCGAACTCGCATCCACACAAGCAGCATCACAGGCGATCACTATGGCGGAACGGTTACCCACCTCGTCCTCTTCAGGACGCAGGCGACGCGAAGGCGACGCTTCTATCGGAGACTTTGTTATTGGAGGCGAAATCGGCAAGGGCAGTTTTGCCCAGGTGTACAGCGGTCACCACAAGGTTCGCGAGCTCCCCTGTCCGTGGTGTATTATTTGAGGCCTATTACATGTGTTACCATCTGTTGTTCCTGATTTTCTCAAGTGCTATGACTCAACTTTGGCTTGCGTTGTGCTGCTCCAAATGTGCTAATTCTCTTTTTGATAGAGCTCCAGGGCAACCGTCGCTATCAAATCAGTAGAGATGGGACGCTTGAACAACAAGCTGCGAGAGAACTTGTACGGAGAGATCCAGATCCTCAAGACTCTGCGCCACCCGCACATCGTCGCCCTCCATGACTGCGTCGAATCAGCCACACACATCAACCTGGTGATGGAATACTGTGAGCTTGGTGACTTGTCATTGTTCATCAAGAAGAGGGACAAGCTTAGCACCAACCCTGCAACACACGAGATGGCGAGGAAGTACCCCGTTACCCCTAATTCGGGTCTTCACGAGGTTGTCACACGCCATTTCCTCCAACAGCTCGGCAGTGCCCTCAAGTTCCTGCGAGAGAAGAATTACGTTCACCGCGACGTCAAGCCTCAGAACCTCTTGCTCCTACCATCACCAAGGTTCAGGGAGGCACACTCCCGCCCGATCTTGACCGCCAGCCAGGATTCACTGATTCCCAATGCCGGTCTCGCTTCTCTTCCGATGCTGAAGCTCGCAGATTTCGGCTTCGCTCGTGTTCTCCCATCAACGTCGCTCGCCGACACTCTCTGCGGTTCTCCCCTCTACATGGCCCCAGAAATCCTTCGCTATGAGCGGTACGACGCGAAGGCCGACCTGTGGTCTGTAGGCACGGTGTTATACGAGATGATTACTGGTCGTCCGCCATTCCGTGCCCGGAATCACGTAGAGCTCTTGCGAAAGATCGAAGCTGCCGAAGATCGGGTTAAGTACCCGAAGGAGCTCGTGGTCAGTAAGGAGCTGGTCAAGCTCATCGGCAAGCTTCTCACTCGTAATCCGGTCGAACGCATGAGATTCGAAGACTTCTTCAATGATCCAATCTTGACAGAACCAATTCCAGGCACTGTTGAAGATGATGCACCCCCAAAGCCTGAGGCAAAGGCCTCGCGCGATCTGCGATCTCTCGGCAGGTCCGATTCCACGTCATCATTATCACGTCGGCTCTCACTTCGCCGGCAAACAGAGAACGAGCCTGTACGTGAGCAGGGCGAGCCAGCAAAATCGCCTCGTGAGAAACCTCTGAGATCGCCAAAATTGCCCAGTCCCATCGAAGGGCGAGCCCAGCAGGCTATTGATGCTGCGCCCCGTCCAGGTCAGTCTCCAGGGCAAGAAGTCGGGGAGGGACTTGGAATTCGTCGTCCACCTATGGCCCAACCCTCCACTTCTGCACCAGCCCGGCCACACAGACTCTCGAATGCAGCTCTCAACCGACCTTCTGCACGAGCCTCTGCCTCACCGCCGACATCGTACTTGAACGATAATCCGGCAAGGAACCGACTGCGTCCAGTCACTGAGCGGAGTGTCACTGAACAGGAGAAGGCGGCACAGGACGTGGCATTTGAGCGAGACTATGTTGTGGTCGAAAAGAAGCACGTTGAGGTAAACGCGTTTGCGGATGAAATGGCCGCTAACCCACGTCTCACGTCACTCTCACCAAAAACTGGCCAGATGATCCGCCGAGCAACGCAACAAGGACCGCCTACCTCGACGACTGGTGCTGGCCGAGTCCAGCCATCCAGTGCAGTTCAAATCGCTTCAGGCAAGGGGCGTCCCGGTCATGAGAGCCGCGATTCGTACGACGGGAAGAACTTCTCCGCCAGCCCGACAACTCAAGGCTTTATCGCCAAAGCGATTTCAGACGCCAGCGTACGATTGTTCGGATTCAAGGTCCCACAGCATGTGTTGGGCGGGAAGGGGGCGTCTCCTCCTTTATACAGCCCATTCCCTGCCTACCCTACCCCTTCCGGTCCAGTCGGCCTCATCGGCGATGGAAAGCAAAACGCACCGGCCGACGAAGACGCACGAGCTGTCAAGCTAATTCAGGATTTCGCTCACCGAAGTGACTGCGTCTATGGATTTGCCGAAGTCAAGTACAAGCAGCTTTTCCCTCTCGCCCCGTCAATGGAGCACGGACTCGGTGGTACGCCGACTGATCAAATCACTGGCGATGAAGACGGCCTCACAATCGATGCTGAGGTTTCCTTGTCTGAGGAGGCTCTGGTCCTGTACGTCAAGGCTCTGACGCTGCTAGCTAGAGCCATGGACGCTGCAAGCCTATGGTGGTCACAAAAAACGCGTGGCGATACAACATCTGCGGCAGAGGTTTCCAAAGAGGGCCTCGCTCAGCGCATCAACTCCACCGTTCAATGGGTTCGCACTCGCTTCAACGAAGTCTTGGAGAAGACCGAGGTCGTCCGGATGAAACTCATTGCCGTTCAGCAGAAGCTTCCTGAGGATCATCCCAGTCACCCGAGCAACCACGGTGGAGTCTCGGCTTCGTCGGCTACTTCAAGCACTCCCGATGTCTACCTTACGCCAGGCATTAGTGCGGAGAAGTTGATGTACGACCGAGCCATTGAAATGAGCAGAACAGCAGCCATTGATGAAATTACCAACGAGAACCTTGAGGGTTGCGTTACGTACTATGTCACGGCGATTCGAATGCTGGAGGCTGTCCTGGACAACGACGAAGACGCAGTCAAGCGGCGCTACTCTAGCTCAGGCAAGGAGTTGCCTCGCGAGGAGACCTCTAGCGATCTGGACAGCGACGACCAGCTGGCCGTGAATCGAAGTAAGTGATAAGCAGGTGTGTCCATATTTTCTCATGGTACTAACTTTTTGGCAGTGATTCAAATGATTACTGCACGTCTCTCAACTGTCCGCAAGAAGATGGCCATGATTGCAGAGGCGTCGAGGTCGCAGCAAGCCGCGCAGCTCCAAGGCCGCAGACGTAGCGGAGATGTGACGCCTCGCAGCGTGCCATCGCATGCATCGTAAGGCGCAAGAAATCGATAAGGACTGCATCGCTCTTATTTTACTGGAAAACAAAACGTTAAAAAAAACCAAAAATCAACAGCCTCGCGGCTACGAACTATTGCTTTATTCGATCCTGAGGAATCTTGGCCAACAATGGCGGACCTGACACTCACATTGCAGCGGGTGGCACAGGCCGGAATACCTCACATCAATTTTCATACATCGGCGCTGGGGGAATGGGAATTCGGCATTACTAGGAATTCACACGGGTTTTTTGTCTTTCAGTCATACCTCATCTCATTGGCGTTGGGAATCTGAGGCTGCGAGCTCACTGATGGTGTGGCCAAACAATTTTGTTGTTTCTGGAGTCCGCACGAGTACAAGGAAGGGCAATCACAGAACCTTGAACCGGCATTGCAGCTTGGCTTTCACTGAGTTCTTCTCAGTAGGTTAGGACGTCCGTCGAGGGATGGCAACGGGCGAACATGGCCGTCCGTTGGAACATGAAGGATGATGGATACCTTTTGAAATACTGCTGGCGGAGACAATTTGGTCTTTGCTTTATAGTCGTCAATATGGAGAAAATTTGCCTGCCATTGAAAATCGTCCGAGTACCTCGGTGCCATGGATTCGACGCTAAATGGCTCGGCCTGGGAACCTTTGATGTCAAGTAGGTATGATGACGGGTGCCAAAATACAGCCAAGCGAAGATTCATAATCTAGGTAGGTTATCCCCTTTCCCCCCTGACGGTCTTTCCTTTGAATGGCATCACCCTAATTACTGGTGTATTTGAGACGATGGGCCAGCTTTTGGGAAGCCGCGATGGTTAGAGGTTGCGGGGAGATGCCTAGACATGTCGATACTGTATCATGAGCCAAGCAAGTTCACGGAGACATGCTCAAGTACCAATTGATTACAGTGCAAACACTGAATTGTATCAAAATGCCTCCATTCCTCTTTGGGGTGTGCATCTTGCTACTGCAAATCTTCAACACAGGTAGTATTACACACGCAACGGGACTTCATCCTCACTGGTAGTCGCTATGTCCCTTGGGCTCAACACCAGACATCTTGTCCGAGCCGCCCTTCTTCTTCTCACCCGCCTTGCCATCACTCTTCTTCTCTCCCTTAGCTTCACCGCCAGCCTCCCCATCCTCAAACCCAACAACCTCGATCGTCGTAGCGACATTACCCCTCGTGGCCCGACTATACGGACATACCTCCTCCGCCTTCTCCACAACCTTGTGCACCTCCTCGTCGCTCAGGCCCCTGACCCGAACTTTGAGATTCACCCTGAGTCCCATGTCGAGCTTCTTCATATCGCCCACCAGGTGCACCGTCGCCTCCACGACGCTGTCCTCGGGCTTCTTGGGCATCGTTACCCCCAAGCTCGCGGCCGAGGCGTTCATGGCGCTCTGGAAGCAGGCGCCGTAGCCCGCGGCGAAGAGCTCTTCCGGGTTGGTCTTGCCCTTGTCGCCGGCGCCGCCGAGAGCTTTGGCCATGGTTAGGTCGACGACGAGGTCGTCGCCTTGGACGTGGCCTGTTCGTGCGCCGACGACTTTGGCGTGGGCGGAGTAGAGGAGGGGGGCGGTTTCTGTGTTGAGGAGGCGGGTTTGTTGTTGATGTGCTGGTGATAGATTGCGTGATTGCAACAAAGAGGAGGAGCGGGTTGCAGCGGTACCGCGGGAGAGGATTTGCGGTGCGCGGTGCGCGAGTCTGAGGGAGCGGAGTGAGGCCGACATATTATTTTTTTGGCGGATGGTTTGGTCTATCGAGTTTTGGAGTTACAGGATTTTTTTGGATGAGAAAGAAAGAAAGGAAAATTAGAATTGAGATCAATTGAGTTATGCGATTGGGGTTTGAACAGTAAAAGCTCGAGAGCTTTGCAAGCTTCTCTTTATTGACCTTATAGCTTCTCGCGTTTGGAGCTTAGCTCTGGATCGTCTTGAGAATGTACCGGTCACCGGTGACGTATTGGATCAGAGGCACCGTAGTCGAACATCTCAAGCCCCCTAACGGACCACAAAGTCCTGAAAGCTGACTCATCTTGGGCATTCCAACTCAAGAATTGCGAGTGGCACACATGGACGTTTTCTACTTAGTATCTAAGGTACTAAGGTAGTACAATATTTGTTTCCGTTCACGCCAAGTAACTAAGACGCATCTGTTGTCAGAGCTATCAATACCAGGTAGTTTCGAGAAAAGAGCGGGGCTCCAACGCAACATCGAACATTGATAAGAGAGTTATGTAGGAGCAGATTTCAAAAGGGTGATCGGGCAAGTTCCTTCCAACTATGTTGGCGTACGGGGAGATAATTCTTCCTAATTTCACGGCATGCACCTTTCGTAGGCTCGTTTCACTGTATATTCTGAGTCTGTCGCCTTTGTTCACCAAGCAATAAAGATGAAGGCAGAAATGAGAAGCAAATATGATGCATCCAAGAAACATGACGTGTCTTTCCCAAAAAAATCAACATCTTGTCGCGTCCCAATCGTTACCAGCAAATGCCTCTCTACCTTGCCCTAATCAGATGCCGTCCTCGTGTAATCTCCATCCATCTAGAGCTTCGCTTCATGTAAAACGTGACCCCTATGACACTCTATCCAGAAGAAAAAAAGAAAAAAAAAATCCTCCCATCACGCTTCTTCGCCCAATGTGAGCATCGCCTCCCGCGGCCCCTCAGGAGGAAACACCAACGGCCGTAGCTCCGGATATGCCTTGTCGTCCTCATCCACCAACAGGGGCTCAAGTAAGCCCATTACCTGCTCCCCTAGCCTTGCATCCCGCGCCGTCAGCTTCTCCAGATCCCTGACCACGACGGCCCTCTCCTCCTTTGTCAACGGCCGCCTCCGCTCCCTCTCCACCGCCTCGGCAACTTTGGCCTGCAACCTCCCGCCCGTCGTCTTCTCGTCTGCAAACGCAACCAGATTTCCCCTCCGCACGACCAGCACCCGGTCAACGAAATCCACCTCGTCGATCCACTCGGCCACGCTCATCAACCCGCCGTACGAATCATCGTGGATCTTGACCGGCGTAAGCCGGATCGGCAGACCCCCGCTAGGCCCGGCCTCGGGCAACCTCTCGTGAAACCGGTGCAGGATGCCCAACCTGCTCAACGCTGCGGGCACAGCCATAACCACAACCTCGACGCGGTAACCCCCTCCCGCCCCAAACATGCGCGCCAGCTCGCGGAAATCGTCCGGGTGCCGGCACGCGCTCTCGAGGAGCACGTCGAGCCTGCGGTCCACGGCCTCGGCGACGGCCATGGCCAGCCACCTGCGGGCGTCGGTGCCCGTAGCCGGGCTCGCGAGGGCGGCCTGCGCCGGGTCTTTGGACTCGACGAGCGTCGCGTAGGAAGGGTGGTGAGCCTTGTAGAGGTCGGCGATGAGGTGGGCGGGCGGGTGGATGCGGGTCATGGCATCGAGGACGGCGGGCGCCAAGCGGGTTTTGCCGGCGCCGGTCTGGCCGACTATTAGCACGGCCAGGGGCCGGCACCGGCGGGGGTGCGGGGTGAGGGTCGCGGGGAGGTCGGCGGGGAGGATCTTTGTGGTGAAGATCTGCCGTGCCTCTGCGTCTGGGAGGACGTAGCGGGATAGATCTGGCGGTGGTGGCATCGTTTTTTTCTTTTTTTTTTTCTTTCTGTGTTTGTGGAGTTTGGGGAAGTGGGTTGCAAAAAACTGTAATTACTGATTCTTCGGGGAGTTCTTTTGGGCACCGAGTCTACCTTATCTAGTGAATTTCCGAGGAAAAACCTCCCCCGAGTTTGGGTATATTGTTTTATTCTTCTGAGAGGGGAGGTGAGGAGAAGGTGTGGGGGAAAAAAAACAGGTGACTCCAAGTGTGTTTAACATGCAGAGGTGGAGTCAATACGCGGAAATCAGGCGCACAAGTGTCTTGTGCCATAAATCCGGCATACCCGGGGAAACCGGAAGGAAAGAAACATCCAAAGTCCGCTCGTCTTGCCCTGTCTATCTTGCCAAAAGTATAAATTCACCTATCCTTGGCGGCGCGAAGGGGAGGCTGATCGAGTCAAGGGGGGGGGGGGGTTCGCCTGGGAGTGGTAGGTTGGTTTCTTTGACATGAACCTATCGCCCTCCCGTCATACCCCGCCGCCCGAGCAGAGTGATGGAATCATGGAGTTCTCTCGGTTTTCCTGATTTTCCTTCTCCCCCCCGCGGTAACTCGGACTCCACACCCCAATGAACCCTTGACGTGACCCAATCACAGCTTCCAGTGTCGAGCCGACCAGCGGCAAAGAACTTGTGCACTCAAGGGGAGGGGGTTTGGGAACTTTGACTTCACATCCAATCCCCCGGCAGATCTTGAGTTGGCTACCCTTACCTTGCCTAGCACATTGCTTGGTAAGGTACTAATGTACGAAACTAAGGTTGAGCAGTACCTAAGGTAAGCGGCCCGAGAACGAGCGCGACATGGACGGGATGCCAGATATAGTAGAACTGTTTGATTAGGGTCGCATTCCTTCTTGTTTTCACGCAGGCGAGATTTGTCAGAGATGGCTTTAGTTTCTTTTACCCCGACTATGCCGGCACTGAGTTGCATTACGTTGGTGCCCGACCCGAGGTTCTGGTACAGGAGTATGGACACCCACCCTTCCGCCCCCCGGGCGGGCCCGGGCACTGCCCCGGCGCAGCGCCGCCGGGCCCCCTGCAGATCCCCCCCATCATCCGGATTCCGTCATCGGGAATCATGATCGGATCTCGGTTGTTTGCCATTTCGGGACACCCGCCCCGCGATGCGCCGCGATGCGGCGGCGCGGGAACTCCCCATTCGGCTTTCGGCTTTGATTTGGATCCTGACCTCACTGACAAGCTTTCTGGCACTAAACGCCTGATACCATCAAGGTTGACTTGCCGTGCCTTTTAAGTTATGGATAAATATAGTACGATGCCGAACCCTATAAGTGGAATGTTATTACTTTCTTAGGTAAGGTAAGGTGTGTTGTACATGGGGTTCTCGTTCGACGGAAGGGGGAAAGAAGATGACCTTGCACAAAATGTCGAACCTTGTTCGTTAGGAACTTTTGAGGCGGTCTAGATCATCCGGCCAATAATCATTTGCTTTTCTTTTAGCGACTCTGGCCAAGAAACACCATGATCAAAATCTCGGCAAAGAAAGTTGCTACTATCTTTGATTATTTCCCCAGACGCCATGGAGAGTAAAATCAAGCAAGTCAACGACCCAACTTGTGTTTTCCGCCAAGATGATTTGCGGTCGATGAGACCAGGCTTCAAGTAGAACACCGCCGAACCATTTCCTGTTAGCACGTGTATTTCGAATTTAGCCTATATCGACAGCTTGAACTAGCCTGAGCAGGTACCAGGATCTCTCAACAGTCTTTGAGTTGAATCAGAGCTGATGGAGGGGCGGCAGGTAAGTGGGTCGGTTGAGCAAGATGGTGCTGACGTCCAGATTCAATGACAGCAGGGGCCCTACAATTAATCTCAGACCCCACCCAAAGGCCACGAAAACAATGACGACGACGACGACGATGATGATGATGATGGTGGGACGCAAGAAGAGCCAGAAGAGCCCAAAGAGCAGGAGGAGTAACAAGGTCAAAGTAGGGACATTGTGGGAGAGTACATGGCACGTAGGAGGACCTACCTCAGACGCGGCGACTGGAGCGAAGCCGAGATGCGAAGGCTCGTGGATCTGCGCGAGCAGGACGTGAAATGACAGCCCATCAGCACGCATATGAAGATATCAGCACCTGCGTTGCGTTCAAAGTACCGGAGGTTGATGGGAAATGGCCCGCATGAGAGGGAGGTGAACGGTGACGAAGGCGTAGGTAGAGGCAGAGGGTGGGGTAGAGGCCAACCTGAAGGCAGCAGCAGAGGTTAATGTAGGTCAAGGTAAGACATTGGCAGTGAAGTTGACATACTCGTACGAAGTTTTGATTCTTGCTTTGTACAGAGAAGCAAAATGAGAACCCGAATTTGAGCTAGAAGATCGCGTCGCTTGAAAATTTCCCAGGCCACAAGAGGTAAGTTAAAGGTGATAGGCACCTTTCTGAGGTAGACTGTAGACCGTAGACTGCGGTAGGGGCCCGTCTCATTTTGTCCTTCCTTTTACTTGTAATGAAGCCAGAAAAGCTAGCTAGTAACACTCATAACCTGGTTTGATAAGGGAAGTGAAACAATCTTTGTGGGATCTTGTCTTTCTCTGCGCGCAAGTCATTTGAAGAGCGGATGCTGCCTCAAGCGCTGCCGAAACGCCTGGCTCCGGAGACAGTCCCACTTCGGACATGAGTGGAACCCGGCTGATCCGACTCGGTAGGTGCGTGAATGCCGGTATTGATTCGGTGCGGGGCAAGATGGGAGCAGAGGACGGGATGAACGGAGCAGAGGACCTGGAGTGGAGTGCCTGTCAATGAGCTTTGGGCGGGCAGAGGACCAGTGAGGTCACGCCAATTGAAGGTACCTTTCGTGCCTGCCGTGCCCTTGACTTTCCAACACTTTGGTGAGGGACGAGGAGCTTTAGGTGGGAGTGTGGGGTCTGTGTGGATTACATAATGCGGTAGTAGGGTTGGCTGCCCTACGGAGCTCAACCACTAAAACTTCCCCTCCAGGCGCGTGACAGTTGAAAGAAGGAAGTTTCATCACCAACATCTCTCACCAAGGAAGAGTAAGTACAGTGCCCCTCCCCTGCCCGCCACGCCCATCGCGATGTCGCGAGCGCCAATCCCGCAAGGAATTGGAGAGCTCCCGGCAAGCAATTGGCAGGGTTGCTTTTTACGCGCGATGCGAATGAATCACTAACATGGCACAGCTTCGTCATTCAAGATGAGAGCTAAGTGGAGAAAGAAGCGCGTGCGTCGTCTCAAGCGTAAGAGAAGAAAGATGAGGGCTCGCTCGTAAGTTCTACCAATCGATATCATTCATGCGCGGATCGTGGTCTGACAGCTCGACAGCAAATAAACAACTCGCCCCCCTCCCCTCGACCTGACCATCTTTTGAGATGACGGCAAACAACAACTCACGCGACTCGCAAACACGGATATGCCACAGCTAGAACTCATCACCAGCGACTCAGTCTGTCTCGGCTCGCTCGAGACTTCTACATTCACACTACGGATTGGAACTACGGGACTTGGGGTCATGATTTGAACGGCACGCATGTCTGGAGACGCGATGAGAATTCGACGAAGAATGGAAAACCCGACAATATGATCGGTCGAGATGACGATATGATGAGGATGCGGTGTTTATGGAACAAGGCCGCAGGAAGCATGATGTCTTGACGCAACGCGGATTTGGAACTGGGATCAGGACTTGCACGACAATTGAAAGGCAGATATTTGCTTCCTCACAAAATCAAAAAGTGAATTAAAAACTCCAAAACCAAAGATCTCATCTGAGTGAATGAACTGAGAAAGCATTCCTATGATCTTGTGCATCGTGATACCTCGATTGCAGCGTCTGCAAGCTCAACTGACCCAATTTCTTCAATTTCACCAGTTTTGAGTGCGACAACCGAGCTGTGACGTTTTGTCGACCCAGCTCGAGTGGGGTCGTCTGCAGTAGGCGCCTTCAGACGCTTGCCGCTAGGCTGCACACCGCCTGCCTCTTATGGATAAATTCACGCCGGTTTGCCGACTTTTTTTTTTTCCTTTCCCTCCACCTCAGTCTGTCTATGGCCTAGGACCCCTACAGAAAATATTTCCAGAGGCCGTCGCCATCCCACCAACGGCAGATCACCACCCGAGCCTAGCACAACCCTCAGATCACCGACGCAAACATGGCGGACGCGAGCGTACGAAAGAGAAAGCGCGACCTCGATGGTTCATCCAAGTCCAAGAAGAAGCAGGCCACCGAGCCTTCCACAGTTGTTGTTTCTTCCTTCCAGAGACCTCAGCTCTGCCCGCCAGTACTAGGTACGGATAATCTGCCCCCGTCAGCCTCTCAATTGCAGTCGCAGACGATCGCTAACATACCGCAGCTTCTTCTCCCGGTATTCGGTTAGCGAAGGGTGTGCAGTTCAACCCATACGTCAAGCAAGATGCCTCATCCGTCAAGCGACGATCAAAAACCCCCGCAGTGTTGCAAGATCTCGTTCTGCACTCCAACACCCACCAGACGATGGACTATACAGCGAGAGAGGACGGTACTAGCGACAGTCAGCAGGCCTTGAAGCACTACGTCGGCATTTACGACCCCGAGACCGGCAAGCTTCAGGTGGTGGAGGCGAAGAAGATGGTGGTTCGTGGTGTGGCCAGGGCAAAGCATGCGTCAGAACAGGCCATGACAGCGCCGGCAGACTACCAGGTATGCCCAATTGCGCCACAAAAGGTCCCTTGCAAGACAACCACTAACGCCGAGCAGAGCTTTTACGATCTCAAGAAAGACCTTGGACAGACGTTTGGTACGAAGAAGGCCAAGAAGGCCATCGAGTCGGTCGCCCTCAACGCCATCGCCCCCGGCAAAACAAGAGACAGCGCGCCCGAGAAGCTCGACACGGCAGCAAAGGCGATTCTGCAAGAGATTGGCGGCGTCACCGCGACAATGGCATCGCGCGAGCAGCTGCAGGCCGTCGTCGACGAAGCCAAGCCCGTACCCAGGCCCAACCTCGAAGCCGAAGCGATCCAGGACGTCTACGACCCCGACGAGTTCATCGGACGCGAGATCCTGGCGGCGATCCCCGTCAAGGACTGGATCGACCCGGCCAAGAAGGGCGAGGAGATTCTCTGCTACTCTAGGCACGTGGCGGGCCGCGTCAAGAAAATTGCCGACTCGGGCAACGTTACCAAGATGCGCCTCTTGCGCTACTTTTACTTCCTCTTCACATTCTACACCATGGCGACGCCGGGCAAGCAGCGCGGCACGAAGCGCATACCGCCCCGGGATAAGCTCAAAGAGCGGATGGAGCCGGCGCCGCAGGTGGTCATCGAGCACATCCGGCGCAAGTTTTCCGACGGCGGCGAAATGCGCAAGTTCCACATGGACCTGCTCATCACACACTGCTGCGCGGTCGCGTGCATCATTGACAACTTTGAGGTGGAGACGTCCAAGCTGCGCGAGGACCTGCGCCTCGACCAGAAGGACATGAATAACTACTTTTTCGAGATTGGCGCCAAGGTCAGGCAGGGTGCCTCCAAGGAGAAGGGCGTCAAGGCCCCGCACGTGGCCAAGCTCGCGCTGCCGCTCAACTTCCCCAAGCTCCGATCTGTTGCGCCGAAACGCCGTTAGGGTGGTGAAGCGGGCGACGGCGACGAGCCGAGGACGTCGGAGAGGAGGCGGCTTCGCGAGGCGATTAGGGTCAGATCGGTTTGACTGTTTGCAGACGCATATGAAGCGGCTCGCCGGCGCATGTCTATATGGCATTATGGTGAGGTTTAGGAGGGGCTTATTCCTCACTTTTGAGGTGTCCGGAGGCGGATGCCAGGGAACATTTACAAAGAACGATGGGTGTCTGCTGCTGCTGCTGACACTCATGATGATACACATACCTACCTTACGTACGCGATACTTTTGTAGTAGACGAGCGTATAATCACAAAACGCTACGCTGCATAGGGGCCGGAGTCTAAAATTTTGAATTACAAACAACAACTGTGACATTGAACTTGATATGAACCTAATCCATTGAGAGCTGTATACTTAATCATCAATGTGTTGATGTTGGGTGCAATGGACAAGGAGTGCTAGCACCCCGCAATGCCACCCCGACCTGCCGAGGCATCTCGGTGCAGTGTGGGGTCCGGGGTACCTTAGCCAGGACCTTCCCACCCTGGCCCAGTGGCCAACTCGACGTTTGATAAACCCAACGACCTGCCACCCCCCTAGCTCACCTTACCTTACCTTACCTAGATTAAAGATTCTCAAGTGACACTCTCAACAACATCTCATTACTTCAAGTCCATAACCACAACATAGAACCATCACCAATTGCTTCGAGAGGAGGACACATATAAACAAGACAACCTTAGCTACACAGACACATCACATCACATCACATCACAATGGCAAGCCCCGAGGACTCCGTCATCTCCCTCGAGTACCGCGGCCGCGTCGCGCTGCTCACAATCGACAACGATCGCAAGCTCAACGCCCTCGCGCAGCCGCAGTACTACGACCTCGCCCAGAAGCTCCGCGAGATTGCCCTGCACGACGAGGTTTTCGTCACCGTCCTCACGGCCAAGGGACGCTACTTTTCTGCGTGAGTCTGACATTATTCTTCTTACTGTGGTGCTGCCCCTTTGAATAAGCCATGGTGAATTGGGACCTCGGCTTAATCTCATACCGCGGCTGCGAACCCCCCAACAACTCTCATGAGAAAAACTTCAAAGCTGTTCAACCAGCCCATTCCCACCTTTAAGCCCAGCGCATCGCATCAACTGGAGGAGAAGGATAGATTACACCAGTCTACAAACCTAATCGAACAAGAATGAAAAACGAATACTAACACAACCAACCCCCCACAGCGGCGCCGACGTAAGCATCGCCCGCGCCTCCCCTTCAGGCCCAGAAGCCCACAAACACTGGCTCCAATCCTTTGTCGCCTTCAACCTGAACATCACCCAAGCCTTCTACACCCACCCCAAAATCCTCGTCGTCGGTCTCAACGGGCCCGTCATAGGCCTCTCCGCCGCCCTGGTGTCCTTTGCCGACTTCATCTACGCCACACCCTCCACCTTCCTCCTCACGCCCTTTTCATCTCTCGGTCTCGTAGCCGAAGGCGGCGCCTCCCGCGCGCTGGTGCAGAGGCTGGGCATCTCCAAGGCCAACGAGGCGCTGATTATGAGTAAGCGGATTTCGGCAGAGGAACTGCTGCATACCGGGTATGTGAATAAGGTGTTTGAGACGGACAAGGGGGAGGATGCGAAGTTTAGGGAGTTGGTCCTGAAAGAGGTTGATGAGAGATTGGGGGAGCATTTGATTGGGGATAGTTTGACGGGCATTAAGGCGTTGATTCGAAGACCGGATATGGATGCGATGGATAAGCAGAATTCGCAGGAGGTGTTTGCTGGGTTGGAGAGGTTTATGAGGGGGATTCCGCAGGAGGAGTTTAGGAAAATTGCGAGCGGTGAGAAGAGGCATAAGTTGTGAGGTGGGGGGTGGGCATAGAGTGTTAGCTTGAGGGTGCGATGAATGTCACCGAGATGTATAGATCGTCTGAAGAGAGAAAAGATATAGTCCATTCGTCTTGATCATTGTCAAAGATCACTTTTCACATTTCGCTACGTGATGGGAGTGCGTCTACGCTCTATTCGTGGGGGGGGGGGGGGGTATCTATATACAAATTCTCACATTCACAAGAGACCAAAAAGCAGGCTCGTCTTCTTGTGGTACTCCTGCGACGACTTGCCTATCCGCTGGCGCGCCCCGTCGCTGTCTAAGCCCGTGTGTTTGAAGATCGTTCCCTCCAGGCTCACCAGGTCGTTGTTGTTTTGGCTTGCCGTGGGGGTATCGAGGTAGCAGCGGAGGAAGGACACGTCGTAGAGCCATTGGATGAGGAGGTCGCGGCGCTGCTGGGCGAGGCCGTCGTCCACCTTTGCCGGTGCCTTTGCTGCGGGTTCGGTGGTCTCTGGTTCCTGGTTTGATGCTCCTTCCTCCTTCTCCTTTGTGTCTTCCCCGTTTGTTTCTTCTGGCTTTTCTTCGCCGGTAGCGTCTTCCTGCTTCTCTGCGTCAGATGCCTCGGCCTCCTTGTCATCACCATTCTCCTCTGCCGAGTCTTTGGCACCATCGTCAGGCTTCGCATCAGACGCATCCCCGGTGACATCCTCCGCGAGGTGCGCCTCCAAGGCTTCGAGCCACATCTCGCCCAGCTGCGTCCCGAGATGCCGCTTAATCACGCCCACGGCCACCGCGCTCCAGAGATCCATACCCGCATCGCCCATCTCCGTTGACACGTCCCGCAGGAACTGGAATACCCTAGGCGAGGGCTGCGTAGGCAACTCGGGGCTCCCCTCCCACAGCGGCCGCCCAACAACAGTCTTTTGCGTGAGCGCCCTGCCCTTGAATGTTTCTAACGGTTGCGTGGCCACGGTGGTAGCTAGCCGTTCGTGCAGCGACGGGACAACCTCCAGCCCGAACCGCTTCACGGCATCGAGCTTCGGCAGGCCCTCACGCACATCGCGTAGGATGCGGAGGAGGTACATGGCCACCCTGCCGCTATTCTGCGCAGCCTCCCTAGACCGCCAGAGACCCGCCAGCTTCTCGTCCAGGTCCGCAAAGGCCTTGACCAGCGTCGCGTCGAGTTTCTCGTGCAGCATCCGCGGGTCCTCTCTGCTGAGCAACTGCTGCCTCGCCTCGATCGTCTCTTCGTCCTCGATTTCGTCAATGTCGTTGTCCCACCGCTGTCGCTTGAGCTGCTCCACCACCTCGCCCACCTCGTCAATGATGTGCCGCCACGACTGGAACCCGCTGACGGCCTTGGACACGGCGTCGTTGCGGCCGTGCAGCCGCGCGACGAGCTCCTGGAGGAAGTGGTCGGCGCCGTGGATCAGGTCTATGTCGAATCCGCGCACGTTCCACAAATCGACCCCTTCGTCCGTCACGCCGTCCTGCCACGAATTCAGCGTCGCCGAGACCTCGGACCCGACGAGGTGGAGCTTGTTGACTTTTGTCTCGACGACGCGGAGCATGTGCCCGTTGACGGCGCCGCGCAGCTCGTCGAGCATCTCTGAGGGATCGAATCCGCGCGCCTTGCCGCCCTCGCGTATCCAGAGCTGCAGCACGCTCGTCCGCAGCTCCGTGATGGCCTTGAACTCCGTCATCCGCTCCATCGTCTTCCTGAGCCCGTCGACGAGGACCTCGCCGCCCCGCTTCGCCCAGCTGAAGAGCATGTCGCGCGCCTGCGGGCCGTCGAGGTCGTCGTGCCGCACAAAGGGCGTGAAGAACTGAATCTCCTCGCCGCACCACCGCTCGTAGATGTCGAGGCGCAGGCACTCGACCGTCTTGAGTGTCGCGTCCGCCAGCAAGGGGCTCTTTTTGAGATTCGACAGCGCGTCGGAGAGCTTGAAGGGCACCAGGGCCTGCACGTCGAGCAGCGTCTTGGTGTACAGCGTCAGGCTCTTGAGCACGTCCGCTGTGCTCCTCTGCCGCTCCTTGTTGTCTTCGACGTCGAAGGCCAGGGCCATGGCGGCGCCCCGGACGCGCAGGAAGTGGTTGACGACGTCGCGCGCGCCGGAGCTGGTGGCCAGGCTGTACGCGCAGAGCGCCTTGAGGACGTCCTGCTGCTTGGCGGACTCGCCCGTCCGCTCCAGCAAGGTTTCGATATTCCGCAACAGTCTTCTCCTCAGCCCGCCTAGGCTCTTCTTCGCGGTTTCGACCGTGTGTCCGACGTCACTCTCCAGAAGCAGCGCCCCCTTCTCCGCCTCTAGGCTCTTCACCAGAAGCCGGCTCAGCACCAGCACCTTGCTGGCAAGCACGACCCTATCACCCTTGCTCAGATCCTGGCTCCCGACACCAGCGGCCCCAGAACCCCGAAGCACACGTCCTACAACGAGCCCACACGCCTCGAGCAGCCTCGCCCTGGCAGCCACGCCGATAGCCCCGCCGCTGCCGCCCAGCTCCCTCGCGCTCCGCTCGAACCCGCCCAGGCCCGTCACCTTCTTCCCGACAACGCCGCGGCCGCAACGCCCGCCCATACCGCCGAGGACGTTCTGCACGGCGTCGTTGTCCTTGCGCATCTGGACGATGGTGTCGGCGGTGCCGAGGAGGTCGCGGTAGGAGCTGCCGACCTGTGTGCGCAGGCGGCTCGCCTTTTCGTCGATTTCTACATGGAGGGCTCTGTGGATGCCACGGATCTGTAGGAGGGTGTAGTTCGAGGAGAAGACTTGGGCGGAGGAGGTGAGGGTTGAAAGGTCGGGGGTCGCCATTTTGGTGGTGGTTGCTTTTCGACGATGATTGAGGATGGAGTGAGGTAGGTAGGTTCGTTATCGGTGGGTCGTCGGACTCATTGAGGTTTCTTCGTTTGCGGGTCTTCCTTCTGCTGTGTTTCGATATGCGTGAGGCTTTTGCGCTGATCTTGCGCCTACCTTTTGGGTGGCAATTGTAGATGTGTAGTTGAAAGCTGGAGCTTGGTGTTGAAGCTGTGCTGGCCACATGGAGTGGAATTTGGTGGGGCCAGCTTTCTCGAGCTTTGGGACCCTGCAATTTACCCCAGCTAACAAATCTCACTTGCACTGCCAGTCCCCCCTCCCTCACATTACAACACTCCTAACCATATGTCAATGTAAATGGATAGATAGTCTACGTAATTGAGAGTACATCATCAGAAAAGAAACGCTTCAATTTTGAGAACTTTTGAATTCCATTTGTATTACGTGAGGGCACCGACGACAATGTAACTCTACAATTTTCTCGCCCTGACAATGCCCGTCGTGATACCAGACATCTCACCACCGTAGCCGCCCTTGGGCTCGCCTCCCTTGTACACGGCCTTCATACTCCTCAACTTCTTCTGCTTCTCCTCGTACTTCATCCTCTTCTTGACGCGCGGGTTGCGGTTCTCCTTCTTGCGCTTCGGCGTCAGGCCCTTGTTCTTTTCAATCGCGTACGTAATCTTGCGCTTGCCGTCCTCCCCGACAATCTCCTGCTCCACGATGCGGTCTGCCTTGCTGGCCGCCGCCAGCGCCGCGCTGTACGCCGCCTTGTCTGCCTTCTTCTTCTTGGAGGAGGCGGCCACCATATCGTAGTACTCGTCGTCCCCTTCCTCTCGCAGCGCCGCCGCCGTCTTGCCCTCGTCGTCGCTGTCGCCGTCGCCGAGATCGGCACCGAATTTCTGGCCGCGGGACTCGGCTTCGCGGTTGAGGCGGGCCTGGCGGTCGCGGAGACGCTCGCGGTAAGGGATATCCGCGTCGCCACCGGCCGCGGCGCCGGCGTCGGCGCGCTTGTTGGCCTTTTGGACGATTTGCGAGGTGTAGAAGCGCAAACTCTTCTTGCGGGCGGCCTTGTCCGCGGCCGTCCGGGCGTCCAGGGCCTCCTCCTCGCCAAAGTCGGAGTTGTCGCCCTCCTCTGTAGCCTTGGCAGCCTTCTTGGTCTTCTTGCTGCTCTTCTTGGACTGCTTGAGAAGGTCGTCGAGGTCGGCGAGCGACTCCTCGATGGCGGCGGCCTTCTTCTGCGCCTGCTTGTTCTTGGATTTGGCCGCCTTCTCGAGTCTCCGCTGTCTCCTGATCTCTTCTCTCGCCGCGGCGAAGGCATCTTCGTCCGCGTCGTCGGCAGCCACGGCGCTGATGTCCTCCTCGGCGGAGGAGACCTCCATCGAGTCGTCGGGCCGTACCGGCGCGGCGTTCTTGACCTGCTGCCACGCGTCGCGGCACTCCAGCAGCGTCTCCATGACGTCGTGGTCGCGGAGTTCGGCGGGGTCGAGCGTCTTTTGGGCCGTTGACCCGTCGCGTGCCGGTGATGTGAGGATGGCGAAGTAACTTGCTAGTGCGGCGACGTAGCAGCCGAGGATCCAGTACTTTACGGCCTCGAGCGATTGACTCGACTTGCCGTGGGCGTCTTTCTGCAGGATGACCAGTTGCGGTTGCAAAGTCTGGAATTCGTTCACGAGGTGCTCGAACTCGGGGTATCTGCTCTGGAGGATCTTTGTGCGCTGTTCAGGACCCATGTCGTCAGTGATCTCAACGTCCTTGAGAACCTCTGTGACAACATCCTGGTCCTCTTCGTCCTCCTCGGCGGCTGCCAGCCATTCGCCCTCGTCGAACAGGAAATCCTCCTCGGACATCTTGGCCAGCTTCTTCTGCTGCAGGCGCTTGGCCTCGGCCTCCTCTTCGAGCGCATCGGCTTCGGTCTCGATTTGGTCGGCATTGTAGTACTCCTTCTTTGAGGAACCCCACCAATTCGGATCGTTCTCGTCCTCCGCGCCTTCGCCTTCTTCCTCAACCTCCTCGTCGGCCGCAGCAGCCTTGCCCTTCTTGGACTTCCGGGCGGGCTTCTTGGCCTCCTCGTCGGAATCGTCGCCGTCATCGAGATCCAAGATTTCCTCGTCCGACTGTTCCAGGAACTTATCCTCCTCGTCGGCCTTCCTTCTCCTCTTGGACTTGGGACCCTCGTCGAACATGATCTTGTCGCGGTTCAGGAAGTACTCGTCTTCTGAATCGGCGACATCTTCGTAGCTGGTGATGGGGCCCAGACGGGCATCGGCGGGGTCGAAGTCCTTGGGACCGGTGCGCTCATTTTGGCCAGAGGCCTTTCTCTTCTTCGCCATCTTGACCGACTGATTTGACCAAACAGATCTTGGGACCGAAGTGTAGGGTGGAAGGGTTGGAGCGAAAGTTGAATTCGATGGTGAGAATCGGGGGGCGGGATCTCTTTGCTGCACTTTGACGACTACGAAAAATGTTCTTGCGTCCGTCAAACGCAGAACTTTTTAGTGGAGATGGATTGGCAGGGATGTTTTTTCATTGGTCTTGAGCCTCGACTTAACGGTGGGGTCCACACTCAGTCGTCCGTGGTCAAATCGGTCCAAGTCAACAACATGTCACTCACTCAACTATCGCCATCTCGAGCTCATTATTTGCTCTGTTCAGTTGAGAAATTGAGATCAGTTTCTCAAAAAAAACTCCGAGATGGAAAATTCTCTCAGATAACATAAGAATCTGAACACAAGCTGGCCAGTTGAGATATGAAGGATCTAAGACTACTTGACAGTTACACACTTGGTACTTTTCTAGCGGCGCAAGCTGGGTCAACATGCTAAGTTGATAAGGAGCCGTTCAACCTGGGTGTCTTATTGAGCTGCAGAAATATACAATATGTGAAAATGATATTGACCTCACTAAGCTTTTGAAAATGTTAACACTGCTGTAAATCAAGGTCAAAATCATAAGGACTAACCCAAGCTGGCCAACCTGTCGTACCATCTCATCTAGACGGGCGGCGTCAGCAGCCACTTGAAGGTACAATTTACCCCACCAGGAACGGCAGGGACCTGGATCCTAATGGCTGCACGTACCCAAGCACCTCACTGGACCGTGTCTATGAATACCTTAGGGGAGCACGGGAGCTACTCCAACTACAACGCCTCGTGCGTCTCGAGCAATTCATCGCCGACAAAGCCGGAACATAAAATCACGACGGCTCTCCCCCCTTTCCAATCGCCCTCTGTCGTCTTCTCTCCCAAATCGAGAGGTATGGAATACGCGTCGCAAGCTCTCTGGATCGCCTTGTCCGCCCTCGCAGCAGCCCTTCTCGCATCCGCAATGGGTCTGTTCAACTGGAAGAATCACATGCCCGTCGATGGCAAGGTAAGCTCAACTCCTTGAACTCCCCTTTTTTTTATTCACACACGCATACTCACCCGCACTCTTCTCCAGACCGTTCTCTTGACCGGCGCCTCCGAGGGCATGGGTCGCAGCGTTGCTCTCCAACTCGCCGCAAAGGGCGCAAACCTCATCCTCATCGCCCGCAACGCCGCCCGCCTCCAAGAGCTCCTCGCCGAGTGCAAAGCCGCCGCCAAGAACCCGTCCACCCAGCGCTTCACCTACATCACCGCCGACATCACAAAGGAGGACTACGCCACGCCCCTCCTCGCCGAGGCCACGACCTGGAACGGCGGCCGCAGCCCGGACGTCGTCTGGTGCATCGCCGGCATGGCCTCCACCGGCTTCTTCACTGAGGTGCCCTTCTCTGAGACCCGCAGGAACATGGACGTCAACTTTTACGGCACCGCCGAGATGGCCCACGCCATCCTTCGCGTCTGGCTCGCCCCCGAGGCCCCCGTCGAGGCCGAGCCGCGCCACCTTATCATGACCACCAGCGTCGTCGCCTTCTTCACCGTCGCCGGGTACGCCCCCTACGCCGGCTCCAAGTGGGCCATCCGCGGCTTGGCCGACACCCTCTCGCAGGAAGTCGAGCTCTACCCGCAAAATGTCAAGGTCCACGTCGTCTTCCCGGGGACCATCACGAGCCCTGGCCTGGAGAAGGAGAACTTGACCAAGCCCCAGATCACGCACCAGCTCGAGGAGCTCGACCCCGTCCAGTCGCCCGACGAGGTTGCTAGGGCCGCCATCAAGGGACTCGAGCGCGGGGACTACTTTGTCACGGTGGCGTGGCTGGGTAGCTTGATGCGGTGGAGCGGCCTCGGCGGTTCCCTGCGCAACAACTGGGTTGTCGACACGCTGGGCATCTGCCTCTCGTCCCTGGTCTGGATCTTTATCCTGCCCGATATGTTGAGGCAAATTAGGAACTACGGCAAGAAGCATGGGCATCCTGCGACGTATGCCAAACCCCAGCCGAAACCGAGTTCATGAGAGCTGGACTTTTGAGCTTAAGAAAAATGAAAGATAATTGATACCCCATAATGTTTATTATTGACAACTCCAGTGCCACAATTCTGAAGTTGCCATGTTTCCCGAGCACTCTACAACACAAGATCGATGATTGACCATAGGCTATAATTGAGGGTGACTTGGCCCTTTTCACACACCAGTCCCTTTCGGTGGCTGATCAATGTGCCCATTAAATACTTGCGATAAGTGCGTCTCTGTCCTGGCAGCCAACGGCTGCAAAGTTGCGAGCAAGTCCTTGTAGTCTTTTGTCTCCAACTGAGACTTGAGGTGCTCTAGAGTCTTTGCACTACATGTGGCGAGAAGCGAAGCAGGTGTCAGCAAGCTACAACGTGTATCCCAGTGTCGTATGGTAGGGAGGGAGCGAGGAGGCCTCAGATGTGTCGTTCGCACCGAATTCACGTACCGTAACCACAATGTCACCAAACTCCTATCCATAACCTCCCTCAAAACAGCACAACTCTGCAACCCCCCCTCCCCAACCACCCTCTCCCTCTGCGCTTTCGCAAACCACTCCAGAATCCTCACAACCTCCTCCCTTTCCCCCTCCTCAGCCGCCCAAAAATGAACAACAGCAACCGCGCTATCACGAGAGTCCTTCCCAGAGTCATCATCCCGCTTCAACCAGCCGCCAGCCATATCATAGTGATGCAGATCGTAATCCGGGCTGCCGATGCCCTGAACGGTCTTTAGCAGCTTCTGCTCGTCCGCGAGGCGCATCTCGCGCTTGAAGACGTCGGTTGATGTGTGGCCGAGGAAGAAGCCCGCCGGGTGGGTGTACCCTTCGAGGCCCCAGAGGGTGTCTGGGGAGGAGGCGGAGAGGTCGTGGCCCCAGTAGTAGCTGTTTCCTAGGGGTTCGGTTGCGGAGACGGCGCAGAGGGCTACGAGTCTTTCTTTCCACTGAGGGGGTTAGCCGTGTGTAGGTGCGTGAGAGTGCTGTGAAGGCTTCGAGAATTCAACTTGATGGGCTGCAGGTTTCTTACCTTTTCCAGGGAGCCATCTGACCCGACGACACGGGCGACTACGAAGAACAACGGGCACGACATGCTGGCTCAAAGGTTTCAAAGTGTAAGATCAGTACAAGATAGCGCAATGAGTACGTTTCTGTCTCAAGACAGGCCTCGCCATGTAGACCACGGCTTGCTTCACATATTAAAGAACAATATTGCTGATACTCCCAGGGTTCCTACACGAGCTACTCATTCGGACGGTGAGTCTCAAGGTCCAACGAGTGCGGGGAGAGCTCTTGGAGTTGTCACTGCCTTGGCCTTACCCCGCGGCTCGGCATGATTATCTCCAACAGCGTAGCCAAAAGAATCAGTCCGTCCGGTGGCCCAAGATATGGACGACCTGGCCAAACGGGCCCATTGAAGATATTCTCGGTTGCACTGTCAAATAGACTTCTGGAAATAGGTGGGGAGAAAATGGCGGGAATGTTCTCCCGGTCTGGGCCACTACCCGCGTTGCATTAACCTTGATCGGGAGTGTCTTGACCTATTGCGCATGGGAACATGCCCTTCTAGTCGTTTGTAAGCATGCACTCAACTTCGCCAGTCATCGGTCACTATTCAGAACAACACAGGTGAAGTAATATCAGATATGCTGCATCAATTAACCGCTTCATCGTGCCTGAATGATAGAGCTGCATTCTAGTAAACACCATGTATTGAACTTCTTAATAACTCTTGTGTCTAAACTGAGTATATCCTCTATGACAGTAAATCTCTTTCTCTCTACTTGACTTGTCCTCAAGTCGTGATGCTCGAGAATCTCAGAGTAAGAAGCCCTCAGGAAGGTCAGGCCCTGCGGAATGAAGGAGTTAAATCGACACCAGTCAAGGCTTGCACCCAAGTCAGTCCACAGAAAGGAAAAAACTCACCCCAGATATGAAGGCTATCAGGAGACGCCTTGGAATGATTCGGCGGGTGCGAACTATTCATCTGATCGCCGTCGACATAGTGCTCAAAGATGAACTTGCTAGGATCAAACCTATGTCGAAGATTCATATTAGTCGGAGGGCACTCTTCTCACTCAATGTGCCCAAACTCCCTTAACAAACAAGACAACTATGGGAAAAAAGAGACTTGCCAATAGTCAAAGATTTGGCTCCCCATGACATGCCGCCCAACGCCCCAGCAATTCTCATATCCCCGCTCGCGAAGCCAGTCGTGGCCGAGGAACTGCAGATCCGAGTCGTGGGTCTCGAACGAGGCGTGATGGACGTGAAATTTGGGGCCCTCGAAGAAGAAGAAGGAGTGATGGTCCACGAGTTCATCGCCGCGGTCTAGTCGTAGGAAGACCGTCACGTTGCGTCCAATTTCGTCGTGTACGAGCTGCCCTCTCTCGTGAGTTACTTCTTTTCGGGCACCAGGATGACACAAGGGGATAGATTCAGGGAGTATATTTGACTTACGTCGCTGGGGATGAAGTTGAACCGAGTTGTGAAGAAGTCGTACGTTTGCTGGAAATCCGTCACGCATGCGCCAAAGTGTCCCAATTTGTGCACAGGTGCCGGGCCTTTATACAAAATAAGTCGGACTGATGGGGAAAACGTCAGATCTCAACTTACCTTTATCAAACCGCTGAAATGTGCCCGCATCTCTATGCTTCTCAGTCGGCTGCCGTCGAAGTCAGACATCCAAGTTACTCCATCATCACAAGATAAAAGCTCAAGTTGATACATACAAAATTGAACTCTCGTTCCGGGAACACCGTCGCCTTCTCCCGCATCACCTGGCCGAAAACAAGGTGAAAGGGAAACTTATCAACACCGCCCTCGAACGTCACGCACCGGCCACCGCCGGGCGCCTTACTCAACTCGTACGGCCCCGAAGCTCCTGGGAGCGTCTTGGAGGCATACAAGAGATCCTCTTCGGACTCAACGACAAAGGCCGCGCCGCCGAAGCAGTCTTTGGCACCGGCTTCGGCGCAGAGGACGAAGGGTTCGGGCCCATAGCCCCGGTAGTATACGCAGGTGCCCTCGCGAGAGGCCTCTACAAAGCCAAAGTCGCGGAAGAAGGCTTCGGCTCTTTCAAGGTTTTGGTAGGTATAGTTTATGTGTGCTATCCGGACGAGATTGATTTTGGGGGTAGGGGTGGTCATCTTTGCAGTTGTGGTATAGATACCTGTCGGAGCTTGGTCGGGTCTTCGGAGGCGGAGGTAGACTATCCTGGATCGGATATTCACACAATAGACACTTTTGAGCAAGGAAACACTTTAAAACTTGGCATTTTATATGAAATCTGAAATAACCGAGTTTTATCATGCTTTCTGATGGAAATGTGTGAATGAGCATGCTGTCTGTCCGAGGCAGACCGGAGCAGCGTCGTCAAAGACCGTGCTCTACGTCTGTCTGTCTTGGAGGAAATTACCCCGACGCAACACAACCAAGTCGAATAATAATAGCCCGCCGCTTCTGTCCGCGGAACGGAAATACTCACCATGCATCGTTTCATTCGGATTTACGACGCTTTGATGCTGCGAGATGACCGACCGAGTTCTGCTTCCGTATATGATAGAATTCGATCATTGTCATCCATTTTTGAGAACATTTCTTAGGCCGGAAGCTCTATGTCGTAGTTTTGTCATCGCCACTTACACAATCACTTTTTGCAAAGGCTAAACAACATTCGCAATCGAGAGTCATTTTGGGTCTTTTAAAATGACCATCCCGGAAGACATCGTATCAAAACCGGCCAGTGAGAGCCATGGTCCGGCGCCGGTGCCTCCAAAGGCAGATACGCAATCTCACGAGGGCAGCGCCGATGCCGCTGCCCTCGAGACCGATCTGCTCATCATTGGCGCAGGCCCCGCCGGGGCTTCGCTGGCTTGTTTCCTCGCATCATACGGTTCGTTCTGAGCGCTTGGTTCTCGATGAGAGCTACCTTAGGCTGATATGTATCCTGACCTAGGACTCAAGGGAATCATGATCAGCGCAAGTCCCGGCACCGCAGATACCCCGCGGGCTCATATCACAAACATGGCGGCTCTGGGTATGTTCTGGCTTCCGTTATCATGCAACCTCTTTTCTTCAATAATTACATGAAAATGCTAACATGTCCTTAGAGTGTCTCCGAGATATCGGCTTGGATAGAGAACTTCAAGCGATTGCGACGCAAGGTCACTGCATGCAACATACTCGTTGGTGTTATAGTATGGCGGGTGAGGAGTTTGCGCGTATCCCTTCCTGGGGAAGCGATGCCAGAAGAAAGGTATCTATCCAACACTTCGCGCTCTACCTCTTACCAGGCAAAGATCTCAGAACCTCACTTTACTCTAGGGCGACTACGAGCTCGCGAGTCCCTGCGACCCCGTCGACATACCCCAAACCGCATTAGAACCAATCTTGGTCCGGTACGCAGCACACCACGGCTTCATCGTGAGATTCAACACCAAGCTCGTGACCTGGAGCAAGGAATCTTCTCCCGAAGGAAGGTACCTAGCCACCGTCTGGGACATGGTTTCCAAAACCCACTACTCCATCCGGACAAAATACATCTTTGGCGCAGACGGCGCTCGAAGTCTCGTCGCAAAGACACTCGAACTACCCCTGGTAGCAAAACCTGGCGGCGGCCTGGCAATCAACGTCCTGGTCAAAGCCGACCTCTCTCATCTGATGGACCACCGGAAGGGTAACCTGCACTGGTTGATGCAGCCTGGCATCGAACATCCAAGTTTCGGCTGGATGGGTATCGCGAGGATGGTGAAGCCGTGGTTCGAGTGGATGTTCATCCTCTTCCCGACCAAGGACTTTGATGCGTCGGTTGAGGTCTCTGAAGAAGCGTACAAACAACGAGTTAAAGAGTTCATCGGCGACGATACCAAAGTCGATATTCTCTCTGTCTCGAAGTGGTTCGTCAACGATATTGTTGCCGAAAGATACTCAGAAGGGAACATGTAAGCAAGCACCCAGCGCACCTTGCATCCTCGTACATCTATCGCTATGACCCAAAGCTAATCGAATAACCCCCTCAGATTCTGCCTCGGCGACGCAGTCCACCGCCACCCCCCAATGAATGGCCTTGGCTCAAACACCTGCATCCAAGATGCCTTCAACCTAGCCTGGAAAATTGCCCACGTCGAAAAGGGCCGCGCCGGCACCACCCTCCTCTACACCTACAGCGTCGAGCGGCAGCCCGTAGGCCTCGGGATCGTGGCTCGCGCCAACGAAGCCTTTCGAGACCACTATGCCGTGTGGCAGTCCCTGGGCATGCTGGAGAAGACGGCGGAAGAACGCAGCGCAGTGTTTGAGCAGCTCTCGCACACGACGATACAGGGGCGAGAGAAGCGCCGCGCGTTCCGCGAGGCTATTGGCCGGACGGCGCACGAGTTTCATGGGCTTGGCGTTGAGATGAACCAGCTTTATTCCGGGCCGGCGATCTATGCTAGAGATGAAGATGGGCCGTATGTGCCATCAAAGCAGGAGGCTGAGGATCCTGTTGCGTATTACGGTCCTGACACGTATCCTGGCCGCCGGCTACCTCATGTCTGGCTGAATAGGGCGGTGCCGAAGGAGCCTGTTTCGACTATTGACCTGGCTGGCAAGGGTAGCTTTACCATGTTTACTGGCCCAGGCGGAAGTCTTTGGCGCGAGGCAGCTGCTGCGGTCTCGTCGGAGCTGGGCTGCGAGATCAGGGTCTATTCCATTGGTTTCCGCCAAGACTGGGAGGACGTTTATTATGAATGGGAGCGTCTGCGAAAGGTTGGAGAGTCTGGTGTTGTTCTCGTTCGGCCGGATCGCTTTGTGGCATGGAGGCAGAACGAGGTATCTGCGGACTCGGACACGTGTGTTCAGAAGCTTCTGCTGGTGATGAAGACGGTTCTGCTCCGTGTTAACGAATGATGAAGTTTTAGTGTCATAGACATAATTTGAGTTAGACTTGCCAGATCTACTTATACGTTACTCTCCGTGTTCTGGAGTCTCACCAGAAGACCATAATTCTTCCTCCGGGAGTTTTCTGACGGACATCATATGGTGGCTGTTGTGGTCTGAATTGACTTCGATCATCTGGCAAAATTCGCTCTTCCTCGAGACGTGCGACATGAGCTCCCTCCGGTTTGGCCACTTGCAGATTTCTACCCTCCTACGTCTTAGATGTCTACTTACTTATCAAAGCTTATTCTGCAACGAATATAATGTAGATAGAGAAGTGAAAGTGGTGACTGAAAAAGAAAACCGGGGGTCGGAAGTTGCTACTCAATTCTCTCAGTGGTCACGAAAGGTCCATTCTCATTTCTGGTTTCCACGGCCGTTGCCTTTGGGGCAGTTTTCGCGAGCATCTTGGATTTGTGGAACCAAAGACATCCCGTGCATGTAATTATTGACCCTTTTATAGGTGTGTACTCCTTGCTGACATATCACTTGAAGATGAACGAGGCGCAGGGGAGCGCAATCGCGCTGATTAGACCGACATACAGTAGTGAAGCGAAACAATTATCTAGATCAACTGGTGCTAAGGTAGAGGAACAGCAGTTCACACTTGACATTCCTATACAGCATGATAGATTTCCCATATCGTTTGCCAAGTCTAGAAGACACACTGGCATCATCGGAACCACCAGGCCTAACAGCCAATTTGAGTCTCTTATGACCAGCTCAGTCATACTGAGCCAACAAAGCCTCAGCTTCCTTGAACTCGCGCCTGATCGTTTCAACATGAGCCCGACTCCTTGGGGCAATCCGAACATTAAACTCCAAAGGCGCCTGCAAAATCCCAGGATTATACGCGTGCGGATCCAAAGGCACAACCTTGCCCGTGATAGGGTCCATGGGCTCAGCGAACTCGAAGGCCCAAAGAAGCTTGGAGGCGATCCGCCACATATTGCGCTCCGCGAGGTGGATGCCGGGGCAGATGCGACGGCCGGCGCCGTAGTTGTAGTGGTCTCTGTTCTCCCACTCCGGGCTGCCGGCGTAGTCGTTGGCCAGCTTTGGGTGCTTTAGGTATCTGTCTGGGTCGAATTGCTCTGCGTCGGGGTAATTTTCTTCGGTGTGATGGAGGGCCCAGGTCGGGATGAAGATTGTTGAGTCTTTCGGGATCAACATGCCGTTGTATTCATCGTCTGTAGCCGCATTATCGTTAGTATCCTCCTGAGTTGGAAGAGGAGGTGTTTGGTGTCGTGGACGAACCTTGACGGACTTTATGCGGTAGGGCAGTGACGGCACTAGATTTTCTCGCATGGTTGGTTCTACATATGCTTCGGACTGGAATGAGAAAGCGGGTGGAAGACTTACACCGGACGCCAACGCATTCCTTCCTTGACGATGCAGTTCACATAGGGTAGCTTCAAAAAGTCATCCCAGCGAGGAGACCGACCACTTCCACAAGCCTCATCAATCTCAACCTGCGCTTTCCTCTGAACCTCGGGATGCAGCGCAAAAGCGAGAACCAGAGTCAACAGTTGCGCGGCAGTGGTGTCGGCACCGCCCTCGATAATCTCCCCCATGAGGTTGGTAAAGGCATGCTGGCTGATCTGTTCGGGCCAACCCTTCTCTTCGTACTCGTCAAGCAGGCCGTCGATGATGCAGTTCCGTCTCTCTCCGCGCGTCCGACGCTCTTCGACGAGTCGACGCGCTTTGGACCAAGTCGTGTCCATTATCTTACCGGCGTCGAGTGCCCGGCGTTTCCAAAAGGCCATTGAAGAAGGGATGTATCGCAATAAGGTGAAGACGTCTACCGGAGGGGCGGCTCCGGGTTCCATTGATGCTGTCCACTTTGATGGTTCACGTTAGTACTAACAAGGCTTGCCTGTGTGTCATATAAAATTGATTGTACCTTTGCCATTACATCGTAGACTCCCTAGATTTAGATATCAGCTCAACCTCACAACTAAAAGGGAGCAATGTTAAACGTCATTGCATTGCTTAGATTGGCTTACATGTCCCCAGAAAGAGTCCATATCGGGTGCTCTAAACCCGTATGTGATGGATGTTACCACTGAAGCAGTATATCTTCGGATCTCGTTGAAGAAACCCTCAGGTTTGTCTAGAAGGCGAGTCATTAAGACAGTGGCCCTTTCCCAAACATGTTAGCAATCATAAAAAGATAACTCGGAAAAGAGAGTCTGGTGGCTGTTGGTAGCTTACTCTGCCTCTTGAACTCGAAAGTGTTGCTCGTCAAGCTTCTTTGGAGAAAAGTTATGAGAAATCACCTTGCGTTTAGACCGCCACGTGGCGTCCATCTGCTCGAGAGCGAGGTGGTCACCATGGGTGAGGAGTCTCCCCACATAACTAGGAGGTCGATCGGAGTAAACACTGCCTTTTTCTACGAGAAGCTTGTGGATGGCTTCGCGGTCACATAGGACGATGATAGAGGATGGTCCAACTTTCAAGGAGAAGATGGATCCGTACTGAAGTGCCCATTCGCGCAACCTAGATACGTTGTATATGATCAGTTTATACGCCCAAAGAAGTAATAAGATATGGCCAAACTCGAAGACAGGTTGACTCACTGCTTGTAAAGCCCTGTTACGGGGATCTGATGAGAGTTTCCGAGGATTGGCAGTGTAGGTGGTCCAGGTGGCATACGAGGATCTCGCCTCCCTATCTGCAAAGTTTTGTGCAGCAAGACGCCCAGAATTAGAGTTATGACAGCAAGTTGCCACATTTCAATCGATTCCAAAGATGTCTATCAAGCTACTTCCGCAACTAAATGAGTATCCCGCATTGCTTTTGTACACGCTCTTCCATGCTACCATGCACCCCATTACCAAACAACAGCCGTGATATTGACATCTACGTCCTCGTTAGCAATGCTCTTACACTGATTGGACCCGGACGAATCCCTTTTGTCAAAGGCATGGTGTTCCTGAACGAAATTTGTCCGGCGGGGTACTTACTGTGAGAGAATCAGTCCGGGGGCGCGGGGAACCGGCTCTTGTGGGAACTCCGCGTTTTTCACCTACCAACCAACAGGTCTTGCCGTAATCCTATTCGTTGTAGCGTGAGATTGGGAACGGCCGTTGAGCTGCCCCCCAATGTCTAGTAGATTTCCCCGGATTTGCAAGATGCCAGATGCCAGAATGGGCTTGGCTTTGGGCCCACGATCCGGAGAACTATGGGGTCTCGTTCCCCGCAACCCGGGCCAGCCGCGACCCCAGCCGGTATCAGTGGCAGCGGAGCTTTCCACGTCATTTTGCAGCACTTATTGGGGGGTGTTTGTGAAACTGGCTGACCCACCATAGGTGCCGCAAAAGCACCAAACAAGATCGCGTTCCCTGCGACCCCCTTCCAGACTGATTGAATGCGCACGATCTTGACTTCCTACAAATTTGCTTAGCCGCGAGTGACATACTTAACCATGGTATCTGATGTTGATAGAGACACGGGAGTGCCATCTCCGAGCCGTACTCAGGAAGGTGTCGCTCAAGAGGGCGAGATATCGGATCTTGCTTGCAAATCTTGCAAGAGGTGAGAGATCGTCCGTCTCTTTGCCTAGGTACACAAAATCACAACTGGCTGACACTTCCCTGATTGGGAACTTAGGAGGAAAGCAAAATGGTGGGTCATTTCATACTTAGCTTTGGGTCTCCTTCCAGCGTTCAGCTGTATGTATCTGTATGGTCTAACAACACTAGTGATCGTCTTCTGCCATGCTGTACACTTTGCGAAAGAAATTCCCAGGCTTGCGACTACCCATCAACGCGACTGAAACCAGGCCCAAAGACAGGTAGGATGCTAGCGCTGTGACTTGAGCTTCATGTTCTCGCCGGCTGACAGCGAGGTTAAAGGCTCACGACATCGTAAGCGGCGGCGATTAAGCGGCAATCTCGCTCACGTTGACGAAGAACAGCATGTCGAGGCCGAAGACGATGCCCCCTCTGTGCAACCGGAAGTCTGTTCAAGATCACTGCCCGCCGTTGAACCACAACTCCTTGACTTCCTTTCTTCGGGGCTTACAGACCACGATGACTTGGCCAGTCTTCATTCGGACTCTTCGTACATTTCCGATACGCGCTTCGTTCGCGCCATCAGCTTATCGGCCCTTGTCCATCCATCTCACGACGTGAACTTGACGCCCCCTTCGAGTCTCCCCTCACCGACCCGTCGCGGCTTCTTCTTGCAACTTGCCGGAGCTCAAAACACGTTGCAGCAAGTATGCGAGTCACTAGACTTGTCAATCGCATCATTGCAGACATTGTGAGAGGATCAGGCTTTCACTAATTGGCATAGGCGACCGACACCTGATAACTAACATCTACTTCAGGACCGACGCCTATTTCGACAACATGACTGCATTCTCTCTCTTCCACCAACCTTCATTCGGTGAAAAGGTCCAAGGAATCAAGAATGCCCTTCACCTCAAGGCGCTACTGGCGTCAATGTTCTCCTTCTCAGCCCGTTTCGCTGCCGCTCCCGACGCAGAGTCTCCGTCAACTTCGGAAGCCTACAGCGGTCCGAGTCATGGGCGATTACACAAATCGGCCATGAACTTCGTCAATGAGGCAGTCGAAGAATACGATGACAAACCCCCGCCACTCTGTATTCTTCAGGCTCTCATATTATGCACGTTTTATGGGCTCACAAGAGGCGTCCGTGGCCGCGCGTGGCGAATGCTGGGTAACTGCGTCAGGATCGCCTACGAGCAGCGCCTCCACCTCGTCGACAGCATCATGCAGGCCAGACCTCAGCCGGGGACCTCTGGCGTGGCTCAATGGTCGGCGATGGAGGAGAGGCGCCGTAGCTGGTGGGCCATCTGGCAGATGGACATATTCGCCTCGACGGTACACAGGTTGCCCACCGCGATTGACCACAGCATAGGCATGAACGAGAATCACCTCCCGGTGCCCGACGTGATGTGGTTTCAAAACATGTACCAACCGAGCTGTCCGCTCGATCCTGCTCCGCTGGAGCGGGCGAAGAAGCTGAGCAAGTCGGGCAACACCAGCGATGTCGCGTGGTTCATCGTTCTCAATTCCATTATGCGTAATGCTCAGGTTTTGGCTCGCGGCAATCTTCACAGCGTTCTTTCGGATCTTAGTCCCGCTCCTGGAGCCGATTCTCGCCCTCTGAAGCAATATCTCCATGGATCATTCCGCAAAAGGCAGTCGGCAGAAGATGCGCAACAACTTCCCGTTCTCATTGGGGCTCTCAAACAGACTGTCGCCCTACTACCGAGATCACTCACTTACCAAGGAGCTCAATTAAACTTCAAGTTCACGGGCTCCTCATCCACCAGCGATTGCCCTCAGCTGCCATCCGAAAGACGTTCGAATGCTTCACAACATGCAATTTATCTTATGATTCAACTAGCACGTTTCATGATCTATCACCATTTTGCATTTAACGAAATCCTGCTAGGCACGATTTTCTCAGAAACAGACAGTCCTCCTTCATTCGGATGGACTTCCTCATCCAAGGATGAAAAAGAGAGACTATCCAATTCAGAAGGCCTCCGGAACTGTCTCGAGGCATCAGACGACATCCACTCCATCGTCAGCCGCTCTTCAGAAACACACATCAAATGGACGAATCCATTTTTGGCGAGCACAGTATGGCTTGCTGCCTCGTTGCAGGTACTCCGCAAGGTATTTGCACCGTCGACGTGTAACGAGGCGTCAGAAATGAAAATCAAGGAGCTCCGTGCAGTGTGTCAGAAATACACTGACTTTTGGGGAACGCCCGAAAGTCTTTTACAAAATCTTGATTCTTTGGAAGAGCGACTGGCACAAAAAAAGGCAGAGATCGCGGCCATTGAAGCAACTCACATGCTAGGCTGCGCATCATATCAACACGCCGGGCATCATACTTCCGCATTTGACGGGACGAGTGCGTTACAGAACTTTGGCCTCATGATGGGGCCGGAGCTGGACCAGAACTCAATGTTCACATCCGTAGTGCCGGAACAACAAGGGCAAGACGTGCCCACGCCAATCTCGCCGCGTAACGCTTCAACTGCTACAGGCCACTGGTTTGTTGACGAGCAGCACGATGTCGCGGAGGGTACTGCTGGTGGATTAGGGATACCAGGTCTCAATGCTTCGAATGAGTTTGCCGGATTTCCGGAGGGTGACCCGGAGTTGAGCTTCTTCATGTCTACCTTACTGTAATGAGTGCGTGATACCCCTTGTCAGCCTTTGTCAGATCGAGGATGGATTTAAGCTTTCCTTCAAGGCAGTCAGCGTTGAATTCTGGAACTGATTTATTCTTCTTCTTCTTCAAGGTTGTGATAAGGTTGCTTGAGATACCTTTTGCACAGGGCGTGACTACCGCTGGGCTAGTGCTGGCTTGACATATTTCTACTCCGGGTGGACCGAGTGTAGTATGCGACTATTTGTCCCGTTCATTCTTTCGCGGAACAATTGCCCAGTAAGAGTTAACTATCCTTGTAGTTCACGGTCAAATGCCAAACTAATTTGGGTTGCAGCGCGACGGACGGACTGATTACAGCCAAATCTATCTTAACCCGACGTAACGGTCTAATCTCAACCAACGAGAAATCGGTTGTGGCATGGGAAATATGCTGTGTACTTTGCATATTTCGATTCCCGAACTTCACGACCTCCCTCAATACCTCTCTCTTATTCGAGTACCGGTTTTATAGCTATTCATAGCCTCAGTTCAGAGCCACATACCCTCGACCCACCCCAAACTCGCGATTCAGGATGAGCCCTTCTTGGACACACTTGGTGCGCTTCGTCGCTGAAGAAGACAATGAAATACACCTAGGCCAGGTTGACGCCAGCCAATATCCTGATGTCGGACTAGCGACACTGGAAGGCCGAAAGGTCAAAGCCAAGGTTGTGATCGGAGATGTATTTGACGGGCGTGTCACGGAGGATGTCTTACACATCAAACATGTAAGTCTCTCAGTATCTTACAATCTGAGGATACTTGGTTTGCTTATTTACTGACAAGACTCTCAAAACCCTCCAGCTCCTATCGCCCGTCACCGCCGATCAGGTACTAATCATCCGATGCATGGGACTCAACTACCGCGACCACGCCAAGGAGGCCAATATGCCCATCCCCGAGGTCCCGGTCCTCTTCATCAAGCCTCGGACGGCATTAACGGGTCCGTACCCATCCACGATCAACATCCCCAAGGTTTCTCAGGACGGGTCGAGCGACTACGAGGCCGAGCTTTCTCTGGTTCTCTCAAAGTCTGGCCGTGATATTCCAGAGGAAGAGGCTATGGATTACGTGCTCGGGTATACTTGTAGCAACGACGTCAGCGCCCGGAAGCAGCAATTTAAGAACAGCCAGTGGTGCTTTTCGAAAGGTAAGTGCTGGAGAGCTGAAGTGCTTGCAAATGTGAAATTCATGATGGGCAAGTTTCCGTCAATTCAGAGGTTCGGTGCCAACTTCTCCTTCAGGTCTCGATGGATCTTGTCCCATAGGGCCTGTTCTGGTCGCGAAATCTGCCATTAAAGACCCCCATTTTCTACGGATCAAAGCCATATACAACGATCAGGTCGTCCAGGACTCCAACACGAAGTAAGTTTTTAGCCTCCATTGCACTGACACGAGCGGGTGTTGTAGTTTTTTTCTTTGCTGACTTGCGGAAAAGGGAAATGATCTTTACCATCCCACAGATGATTTCGTTCCTGTCACAGGGTACGACTTTGGAGAAGGGCACGATTATCATGACGGGCACTGGTCCTGGTATTGGTGTGATGAGGGACCCGCCCATCACGCTCAATGACGGGGATGACATGAGAATTGAGATTTCTGAAATTGGCACTCTTGTCAACCGTGTTCGGTACGAATGAAGTGATATTCCAGAGATACATTGAGGGGATTGAGTCGAAAGGCTATTAGACTTAGACGTGGTTGAATTCTACATTTCCAGAACTTGCGTTGATACAACCTCCCTACGGTGCCCGAGGATCGCGTAGTATTTTACCAGTAACTTACCCGGCTCAATTCACGGGTCCACCCGAAGCCACGAAGCGCATGAAGTCTCACAACAACGCGTCTTCCATCGCTTGCTCAGTCTGCTCATACCGATGCGTATTCGTGCAAGTACAAGAGCTCGAAATCTCATTCAAACGACAGCCTGCTAGCCATCCCATCATTGAGTAAGTTAGATGTAATTTATATCTCGACAGCTGATGACAGAGAGACCTCAAGTACCGGGCGCCACGCCGATCGTCATGCCGCCATCAACAGCAAGGACCTGACCCGTCATCCACTTCGACTCCGGCCCGCACAAAAACACCACAACATCAGCAATATCCCCCGCCGTTCCCAATCGAGGCCACGGCGTCGCCTTCCTCATCAAGTTATGGATCCCAGCATCCTCAAGATTCCCCCTCGCCAGCCCCGTCGCCACGACGCCCGGCGCAACGCAGTTGATGTTGATGTAGTCCTTGGCGTGATCCAGAGCGCCAGCTCTCGTCATGTGGTTGACCGCAGCCTTAGTCGCGGAGTACGCCACCTCTCCCGGAAACCCGACGACACCCGCGCAGGATGATATGTTGACAATGCGTCCGCGGCTGCCCCATGCCGCGTCGAGGTCTTGCCTGAGAAATTGGCCGATGGCGAGACGGCACATTTTTGCGGTGCCGAGGGTGTTTACGGCTGACATTCGTTCCCATAGTTCGTCGGATTCGTTTGCAAAGAGGTGGAACGGGGCCCAGTACCCTGCGCAGTTGACGAGGATGTCGAGGCGGCCGAATATCTGCAAACTTGACTTAGCCGGGACCTCAAAAAAAGGACTACAGGTTCGGAAGGTTTTTGTTTCACCTCATTTGACTTCTTGAATACATCCTCAACTACTTTGGTGTCTGTGATGTCTCCGGCGAAGAAGATGGCCTCGCCTCCCGCGGCGGAAATCACGTCAGCCGTCGTCTTGTCGATGTCTTCTTCGTAACCTTTGGAGTTGGGCAGGTCATTAAGATCAAAGGAAATGACTTTGACTCCGAGAGATGCAAGCTGGATAGCAATTGCTCTTCCAACTGCAAAAGTCACGGTCATTAACATATTGTCTTTGCTACCCTGCTACACAGAGGCGGGACTCACTGCCAGATGAGGAGCCTGTGACCAACGCCACCTTCCCATCTAATGGTCTTGCCATCTTTTCAAGTAGTTATCACTTGACCAGTGAAAGATGTTTTTAGAGTCTCGGATTGCCGGTCTTAAGTGAAATAGAAGTGGTTTTCGTGTATTTGGAATCGCAGTGGTTCTAAGAATTAGTTTGCAAAACTCTACGGTGTGGAATGAGAGGTGCGTGTGTCTGCTGTTGTGACATTTAAATCACACCAACTTCGAACATATCCAGTACAAATCGATGTTGAGTTTCAACAATGGGTGGTTGATGTCCTGTCTTGGCCGGAACTCGAAAGTTAGGCCGAATATCAGTCCGCGAGACGGTATGCCGAATACGGGACAATTATCAACCAACACAATCAGGGTGCTCTTCGAACAAGGGCTACTCCAAACACCCTTAAGATGCTTTTCGATACTAAGAAAAGTACTGAAAGAAGGTATCACCACTTTGTGTCTCATCTCAAGTGTTTCTCTGTGTAGAGGCTGAACAGGCAAACCTCGGATCCGACATGTTCGCGCGCAAGGTGTTCTGTGTTACTGGTGCCGCATCGGTAAGCTTCCCGAACTGAGCCGGTGTTATCAATCGATGCTTCAGTCATGATTCCCTGGTGTAATAGCTAATTGATACAAACGTTCTAGGGCATAGGTAGATCAACGGCAATCATACTAGCGCAAAGAGGCGCTGCTGCACTTGCGGTCAGCGACGTGAATGCAGCGGGACTAGACGAGACTGTCAGAGAATGTGGGGTCCTCTGTGTCATCCCTTTTCAGCTGAACTGCGAGGATGGACCAACTGCTGACGGTTGAGTAAAGGCGAGAAAGCTGGGGCCAAAGTCCTAGCTTCGAAAGTCGACGTTCGTCACGACCATGAGGTGAAGTCTTGGATCCAAGAGTCTTTCACCAAGTTTGGTAGACTCGATGGGGCCGCCAACGTTGCTGGAGTTGCCGGCGGGACTGGATCTACAATCATCGAGACAATCGTGAGAATCAACCACTTCTCTCCAGGGCTCGTGTCTTTCGTGATCAATGTATGTTGACTTCCTAGCTTCGCAGGCACAAGAAGACTGGGACATGACCATAGGCGTCAATCTCAACGGGGTTCTCAACTGCATGCGAGCTCAATTACCGTTATTGCCAAAACCAGGAGGAGCAATCGTCAATGTGTCAAGCACCTCCGGCCGAAGGGGTCTGCCGCACAGCGCTGCGTACGCGACCAGCAAGTTCGGCGTCATTGGGTTGACCGAATCAGCCGCTGGAGAATACGCCAAGGATGGCATAAGGATCAACACGATATTGCCGTGAGTAAGCTCCTCAAATGCTATGAGAGCTTTGTGAGTCCTGACCGAGAGGGTTGAATCAGCGGGCCGGTCGATACCAAGATCTTTCGAGACGGCGAGGCGTTGGGGCTCTTCGACTCGGACACGCTTTCCAAAGACACCTTGCTTCGCCGGATGGGTCAACCTGAAGAGATTGCAAAGGTCATCTGCTTTCTCTTGAGTGAAGATGCCTCATATGTGACAGGAGGTAAGATGAACACCGATGATGACCTGATTGGCGTAGACTTACAGTGAGTACAGCACACTGGAATGTCGACGGGGGCTACCTGGCTTGTTAAACGCGTTAATGACGACCTTGTATGCTAGAAACATAGTGATGCCATTCAATTCGTTTCCGTCCTTCAGTCAGAATTTCTCGTCTACCAAGCGGCGAAGGCGTCTTCGAACACTGTTTTCATATGCGTGCAAGAGACGAAAACCAGTGTCTAGTCCATGTCCTGAGGTTGTGCATTTGGGAACTTGAGAGTTCATGAGGGCGGCTTTCATAAGTTTCACGTTCTGATCATACAACAACAACTTTGCGGTGTTTTCTTCCTCCGTCAACGTTACGAAGGGAGCATATGGGGTCCTCGGGAATTTACATCCCTCCTTAACCACCTGATTCATGATCCGCCTTTGATTCTATCATCATCTCCATGGAGCTCCGAGCAGTAAGCCAGTACTAATTGCAACTATCTTACGTGCTAAGAAAAACGTTTTTCCTAAAAGTTGCAGCTTCAGCCCTATAGGCCATGGTACTGGAAGATCGTCGCTGGAGCTTCTAGCGTGACGTGTTTCCAAATCCCGCTTCGCGTCAAAATTGCCAAACAAAGACATTGAGGATCGTCTTCTCGAAGGACCACAAATCCCGACTGATCTGAGCTGACAAATTTTGGGCTCCGGGGACAACGATGCCAACTTTTCACTGACTGAGAAATAATGCTAATGCTGGATATAGCATAATACGCTGCCACGTTTGTATGTATATAGATTGGCGCCGTTCTAGGTCATTTCAACTCCAGGTAAAAAAGAATTCCGTCTCGTGCATCAGCCACCTCACTCACTTACACCATGTCCCACCACATCACAACCCACGACGCAACCGGCAAAGCCGTCTTCTCCCACGCCTCAGCGACCAGGGAATCGCACCAAGTCCCCTCGGGTTCGATTCAAGTCGTCGCCTCCACCCATAACACACAACTCGACCTCTCCAGCGAGGCAGACATTGTACAGTACAAGATCGACCGCACGCAGTCCCTATTCCTGAGCTCGCGCGTCATCACACCAGACAAGGGCACCTCGGCGCTCGTCACGGTCCTCAACCCGGGCGAGGAGTGGCCGATGCACAGGACCATGACGTTTGACGTGGTGTATATGCTAGAAGGCGTGGTGGAGCTGCACCTCGACTCCGGGGAGAAGCGGGTCGTGCGGGCCGGCGACTTGGTCACTCAGAGGGGAACGAAGCATAAGTGGGTAAATGTCACACCGGACGGTAGGGTAGCAAAGTGGATCGTTTTTGCGCAGGCTGCCGGGGATGTTGTTCGCGCTGGAGGGAAGAGTCTCTCCCATGAGTGGGATTGATCCTTTAATGGTTGATAATGGGAAGAATCAAGACTTCTCTTAAGATTGATCGTGGAGGACCATTCTATGCTCAGCACGATCAATCTTTGAGGTGTATGGCTACGCATATTGAAGGCTACCTGACTTGATAAAATGTCGGGGAGGCTGGCAGTCAGTTCTGTTGGGCAGATCACTATCCACACACGATTTGCAGTATGCCAGACAGAAATTACAGGCGTGCAATACGTTTACCAAACAATTTATTGGATTGTAGCTGAAAATTTGAGAGATTTGCTAAAAATATGCGACTGTCCAGTAACCCCGTGATGCTTTGAGCCTACTAGTAGTGAAGGAGAGCGATCGAGTCTGAAGAAACCATGATGCATCCATCTGAATCAGAGGGGACTCACACAGATACACACACAAGCACCAACTTGTGTCCAACATATGACCACTTCAGTCATCAACAAGCCCCCGTTTATTCTCGATCAGTTGCCTACGCTACTTTGATGCAAGTCACCTCTACCACTGCGCTCAACGTGGGTTGGTATCTGAACTTGACTTCGAAACGGCACGATCCCCGTTCAGGACCGCCCAGAATTCGACTGAATAGAATAGACCCTTTTGAATTTGTTGAAGTTCTGTTTCAATAATATGCGAGTTGCTGATGTAGTCACTCCTCCAGCACCAGCTCCAGAAGTTGTGAACAAGGTGGCAATATACAGTAGGACCCGAGTTCCCAGTGTCATCGAACGTCGTGTGTCCCATAATGAGTACACTTTTGGGGCTAATTGGGTATTCCTTGATGACGATTTGGTGTCTCATGTCAGGTGATTGATAAATGC